TAACAAATTAACTTTTTTGGTGAGTTGGTTGCTTTACGTGATAGATGAGTGGCTTGCGGTTGCTTGACATTGTATTAGAGAGTTCATTGAGGAAAACCTCAAATTGTCCGAAGCCTGAGGCCCTCCCTATCACGTTCAGTTTCGTGTGCTACATCTCGCAATGAAAAAAGAAGGCAATAGCAGAAGGTGATATATCCTGTATCACCATTTTATGTCGCTTTATCTGATAGCCTTGGGATCTTGTTAACGAACGTAATGCTACGTCTAGAAGACAACTATGATCTCGAACGAATAAATCTTTAATGCTACTATTCTACTAAAGATTCAGTACATCCCACTAATAGAAATATTACATATTACATGTCAGTTAAAGTTTTCTTTTCTCTGTCAAATTTTTTGTCTCTCTTGTGACGTATATTGCTTCCATTGATGTGCACTGAATCTTGATGTTGTCTCGAACCCTTAGTCTCTTACTAAGCGTTGCGGTTATCTCGAACGTAACATTCAGACACAAGTTTGAAGCGGGACTCAATTGTCGATCTTTTATGTCGTTGGGCCCAAATTAAGATTTGTTGGATCTTGCTCCTTGAAAACAGCCCAAAGACTTACCCACGTTACCACATATGTCATCATACTTAAGGCCTACTTGACCAACAAAACTTAAGGCCTAGCCCAAGGAAGCAAGCCGTTTCTTTGAAGACTTGTGCTTTGATGTTGTCCAAAAAAAAAAGCACAGGGTTGCTATAATAAAACAATAAGGGAAAATTGTTTGTCATTTTAAATGACAGAAAGTTATGTCATTTTAAGAGAGATACAGACACGGAAAATTTGAATTTTAAATTAAAAAAACCACCCACTTTCTCTCTCCCATGATTCTGTTTTTCTGTGTCTATCTCTCTCCTAAAATGACATAATTTATGTCATTTAAAATGACAAATACCAAACTCAAACAATAATAATAATAAAAAAAGAATTTTTTTTTGGATACAGAAAAAGAAAGAAAGATAGATGAGCCTCTATTTGCCATTTGAAGTTTATCTTATAATCTTTCACTAAAAAAATTTACTACTATAATCACCAATGTGGATTTGGTTCGCCCCAAACTTATTAGGCATCTCTAACAAATATAGACAGGGAAGGAAGGATTTAGCTTATGAATTACACTCATCTAAATTGTAACAATATATATATATATATATATATATATATATATATATATATATATGAGGTAGGATCCTTTGACACCAATGTCAAATTTAAAATTTGACACCTCATCTGATAGCCGTTAGATCAAAAAAGATCAATGACTATATGAGGTAGGATCCTTTGACACCGGTGTCAAATTTGAATTTTGACACCTCATCTGAGAGCCGTTAGATCAATAAAGATCAACGACTCTGATTTGTAAGCATGTGATACCATTGATCTTTTTTGATCTAACGGCTCTCATTTGACACCTCATATGAAAGCTGTTAGATAAAAAAAGATCAATGGTATCACATGCTTACAAATCAGAGTCGTTGATCTTTTTTTATCTAACGACTCTGATTTGCAAGCATGTGACACCGTTGATCTTTTTTGATCTAACGGCTCTCAGATGAGGTGTCAAATTTGAAATTTGACACCGGTGTCAAAGGATCCTGCCTCATATATATATAGGGACAGGATCCGTTTACAAACTTTTTTTGCAATTACACTAATGTAGGACCGGTCGTACACTGTGTAATTAATGTAGGACCGGTCCTACATTAGTGTAGTTTGTAAGAGTTTGTAAACAAAAAAGTTTGTAAATATAACATGCCCCATATATATATATATATATATATATATATATATATATATATATATATATATATATAAAAGCATGATAAAACTGCACATGTAACAACCAGAATATAATAAATTTTAGATAGATGAGAATCAGGATTGAGATAGAGATAACGGTGTTCTAGAGAATTTTCTAATGTTCATGATAAACTTCAAAAATTGCATTGGCAGCGGAAGAAAAAAAAAAAGAGATTTATACGATAATGTCACCCTTGTGGGGTTTTAAGATATAATTGATTCAATTATGTTCTTCAAAATTGCTAGTTCTTTGGTAGTTTGAGGATAAAAGCCTTGAATGTCTTTTAAATGTTTATTATTTATTTTTTGGTAGGGTTCTAACATGTATATTAAGATAACAAAGAACCCTCATGCTGTCCATGTCAGACATGAACATAACGAGAGTCTGAAATCAGTTTTATTATCTTATTCATGAAAGTTCAGGGTTGTCTTTTAGCTTTTGATCAAATATTACTTTTGCTTGTTTTGGAAATGTACAAATAGAAACACCCTAATAAAAGAAGAATATAAAGGCATAGTCAAATAAACTACTCCATTCGTGATTATGTTATGTCGAAATATTCTAATCATATAAAAATAAATCAATGATGATAAAAGAAAAGAGAAAAAAATATTAGGATGAAAAATTATAAAACCTATTAATTTGTTGATTAATGATTAAGATCATCTCATATAACATGACGTTAAATAACATGAGAGGATTTATCTTCAACTATATTTGAGTTTTATCCATAGTGTGATAACTAAAGACCCTATCGTATCAAAATTTCATGCTTAGTCTCTATTTCTCTTGTTTCTATATATTAAATAAGGTTTTAATGTTTCTACCGTGAATGTAGATAAGTTATCTATGTTAGCTCCCAAAACGATATCGTTTTGGGTTGAAAAATTAAAAAATTATAATAAAAAAGATAATTATAACCCTGAAATAAATTATAATTACAAAAATATTTTGATTTACGCTTTAAAACGACGTCATTTTGGGCTCAATGTATATAATATCTACATTGACTATAGAAAAAATGAACTCATTAAATAATTGGAATCCATTTTTTTTAAATAATAATAATTGGAATCCAGTCAATATTACACAAAACTTTAAAATTATCAAATAATGTGAAATTTTAATGTTTCTATATATTAAATTTAGGTTTAATATTTCTGCTTATTATAGATTTTTTTTTCTGCCACTTACATAAAAATGAGTGTGTCACACTAGGTTTTTTCTTTCCCTCTTATCTTTATATTGAATTTACATACTTTTATATGAGTGTGATAGGAAATTTTTTTTATAGCAAAAACAAAAAAATTCCCCCCAAATTTAATATAAAAAACCATTTCCTAAGAAGTAAGGTAAAAACCAAGGTTCCAAGTTATCTTCACTAATTACCTGTTACGAATTTACGATGGCTATTGGTGAATGGTGAGCGATGGAAATATTTAATATGCTTTATCTCCATCTATGATTTAGTGGTTTAAATCAATAAAAATTTGGTATTTTCTAATTTGCTTGTGTGGAGGAAAGAGAAATTTTATTTCTTTCTACAAGTGATAGTTTCTCAATGAAAAGAATAGATGTGTCAAAACTACTATAAATATTCTCGTGATCGATCGATGAGCACAAATCATGAAAAACCAATCAGGGAAGACCACCCAAACATGAACAGGCCCACTTTCCAAATTGGCAGGAGACAGGTGGACCAATATCATTGGGCCTCCGTTGCAAATGAAGGTAACAATACCATGGTGGGCTCTTCCACTTAGGTAATGACATCCACGAGGCTGAACAATATTAGGGACCGGTCATTATGTCTTTATCAAAGGTTTCACACGTAAATACCAAATATACCCCATCATAAGCATGTCAATTTGACTATTTGACAGTAAGATAAATGTCAATTTTATTTTGATAAAAAAATTATGACTATATAGCATTTTATTGTTCTTATATTGGAAATAATTATCTTATTTTACATGAGATAATTATCTCATGCACTAGATACAAATTAGATGTAGAATCCACTTTAAAAATTTTCTCTCTCCTTTATTCTCTCTCCTCTCTCTTTCATATGTGTGTGTAAGAGATTGTTTTTTTCTCATGTTAAATGAGAAAAACAATCCCCTTAATTTATTTATGGAAATATCTTCTTTCATATTATATGAGATAACTCGTCTCATATAACACACAAAAAATAGATATAATCCATTAAAATAAGTGGATTCCACTTATTTAAATGAGTCTCATCTACTTTTTTGTGTGTTGTATGAAATAACCAAGGAAGCACGGACACTCCAAAAAACAGGGAGTATCGTGTCCGACACGTCGACACGGTGTCCGACACGCGATCAACATTCCCGACACGTTGACATTTTGACACGCGAATTTGACTGTGTCCGACATGTTCCGACACTCTCCGACACGGTCAAATGACATTTTCGTAAAAAAATTAAAATATATTAATAAAGCTTCCACCTGATCATATCAATTTTTTTTTTTCTCCTTAAGTAGATAAGAGATCATCTCAGCATCATTGTTGTCAATTCTTATTATGCTCTTATTGCATCTCCTTCTCTTTGACCTCTTTCTTTAATATGATTTGATCTCTCTATCTGATATTATCTCTCTCTCTCTCTCTCTCTCTCTCTCACCCCAGTTCCTATTTTTTTTTATTAAAGCTTCCACCTTTATAAGGTGTTGATGGGTATTATTAATTTAGTTTTATTTTTTTGTTAAATTATTGAATATTAAATGAAATATACGCTATATAAATTAAAAATATTATTTAATATTAAAACGTGTCCAAATGTGTCGAAATCCATATTTTTTTAAGATTGACGTGTCGGAGTGTCGTGTCGTGTCACGTGTCGTATCGGTGCTACATAAGAAATAACTTATCTCATGCAACATTAGAAAAAATAATCCCTTTATTTATATATTGAGACTTCTTTATTTATATTGATAACATGTTGTTATTAATGGTAAGTGAAATCAACCCTTTATAGTATTCCGTTTATTGGACGGATGTCAAACTACTACCATTTAATTGGATAGTGCCCCTTTTGCTTTCTTATGTAATCTCTATCCGAGTATAAATATGATCATGACTTTGCACCTATTGCCTCTATAGTGTATAGTTCATAACCAGCAATATTATTTGGATTTTAAGTTTTTTCTTGTTTCATTTGAAATCTTCCTCTCTGGGTATTAGAAAAAGTGGGGGAAGAAGGTTTGAAAGATAAAGGTTCATCATACTTATGGCTGATGCATTTGATGAGCAGTGTGACTACCTCTTCAAAGCTGTTCTGATTGGTGATTCTGGAGTTGGGAAATCAAATCTGATATCAAGGTTTGCAAAACATGAATTCCTCCTTGATTCCAAGCCCACCATAGGTGTGGAATTTGCTTACAGGAACATCAGGGTCAGAGACAAACTTATCAAAGCCCAGATATGGGACACTGCTGGCCAAGAGAGGTAACTCATTATCCCCACTTAGTTTCTTTCCAACCACTTCCAATGAATGATTATGTTTTTGACTCTTTTGTTTGTCCCTTGCTTTTGTCTTCATAATCTTAGCAAATGTTTTGTTTTTCAAAGGTTAAAAAAAACTCTCCCTTAAACCCCGACTAGCAAAGCTGCAATAAAGACAATTCTTACATTCTTATTGTTTTTGGATTTAAATCCGTGATCTTTCATATATAAAAAGAGCAATTTTACCACTAGTTGAAATTCTCCCTCTTGTTTTGTTTTACAAAGGTTAATTAATCAAATTCTTAAGCTCAGAAACACATTAAAAGGATGCCCTTTTGAATATGCAAAATGCAGACAAGAACTCAGTAGCATAGACTTTTGCTTTCTATTTTTTATGTTAGTTTCATCCTTCTTTTGTTTCAATGAAAAGTTGAACACTTTTCTAGCTGGCATTTTCAATGTCAAAGTCGGTGTCCTTTGGGTTTGCTTAATCTAGAAGAATTTTAATTTTTTAATGAACTAAGCTAATTTGACATGATTGTTATTACTTATTAGACCTCCAATCTTGTTCAACTTTTCATTCCTTATCTACTTTCCCTACAAATATTATGTCCCACCTCTGTTTTCTTTTGCTGCATTTTTTTGTTAGCTAGCTTATATGTGCTGTTTGCTTTTGTACAGTGACAAAAAATAAAAAATAAAAAATAAAAAGAGAGAAAAAAGGACCAAAAAAGAGAAAAATAAAAACAAAATATTTTTTTATTACCAAAAAAAAAAAAACAAACAAAATATTTTTAGTATTATGTTAATTGTGCTACTCGTGCGTGATCATGAAGATATCTTGCATGTGATAAATTCAAAAGTGAAAACGAAAAGTCAGGGTTGCCAATTAAGTACAGGTTTGGCTTTGGTGGGGAAAGCAAAGTATAACTAGAATGCTTTCAGGTGGGACCTTGAAGATAATGGGATTATCATGAATTGAATTGTAAGCTTGGCATTGGATTTGTATGTTTATGGTTTGATATCAAAAACAAGATAGCTCACCAAATGAACATTTTAGTTATTGAGTCTAGGACATGCTTTCTTCCATTCAAAGTATGCTTTATTTGGAACCTCACCCAAGTTTCCACATTATTTTTTTGCACAGTTATTATTATTTTTAATGAAGGCTTTCATTTTTTATAAAATAAATTGATTTTAAAGGTATTTTAATAACTTAATATTATCAAGAGAATAAGCTGTTATTAAGTGGTTCTAATCTTGAGAGATTAAATTGAATTTGAAAAAAATAATTGTCAAAAGAATAAATGTTTTGAAATAAATTAATAAGATTAATGTTTCTCATGTTGTAGATGAGAATTTTAGCCCCGACACACATAAAAATATGTGTGACCCATATTTTCTTTTTCTTTCTTTTCTCTTCAAATGGCCCAATAATTTATAATGGTCAAAAGAAATGTTTTAGAAGTTTCATTAGTTGCAATAAAACTCCCGTGTTTGTATAGTTCATGTTGTAATATAATCAATCAAAGTGATTGGGATGCATTAAATTCAAAAACTAACCTGTATGAATTACTTCACATAAAAATTAAGATAATTGATTATTTTCAAGTCATAATTAATGGTTTTGTTCTTCCCATATTTTCGATTTAAAACAAGAACAATTCATTTATTTTTGAGTAATTAATTACTCGAGAATTCCTTTACTTCAGTTTGAATGGAATAATAAACTATTTCTAAAAATAATCCAATATCTTAATTCTAATTAGCTTAAGACCACTATTTGAAAAGGGTAGTTTAGTTTACCAAAAAAAAAAGAAAGAAAGAAAAGAAAAGGGTAGTTTATTATTTCATTTATTTGACTTCCCCAATTAAATTACTTAAATTTTCAAGGAAAGTTGGTTTTAAAATATTACAAAACATCTCAAAAGTGGTTTCAATTATGAGATTGATAAGACCATTTTTTGAAAACTTGAGGTTTCATGAGTTTAAGTGGGATCACTTTTATACCTTTACAAAAAATCCAAGTCCTAATGACTTATCTTTTAGGTGCTTTGATTAATCCTTACTAACTTTAATAATTGATTCTTGTCATCAAAACCTTGTTATGCCATGTTGATATGCACTTCCACTCACTTAAACACTACACTAATATTTGAATAGACTATTACCAAACCTTGTCATCAAAACCTTGTTTATTTTATTTTTCTAATATTATAATATTGGTTGTCTCTCAATTATAGCCATTGCTTAATTTGGGTTTTAAGAATGAATTTACATTATAATGTAATTGTATCATCATGATCTTATATTTAATTCTAAGAAATATGTATACAATTTTGTGGTAGGTTTAGAGCTATAACAAGCTCATACTACAGAGGAGCCCTGGGGGCAATGCTAGTGTATGACATAACCAAGAGAACAACTTTTATGAATGTAAGAAAATGGTTACATGAGTTAAGAGAGTTTGGAGGTGAAGACATGGTGGTTATTCTTGTAGGAAACAAAACTGATTTGGGTCAATCAAGGGAAGTTGAGAAAGAAGAAGGAAAAGGGTTTTCAGAAAAAGAAGGGTTATGTTTCATGGAAACCTCTGCTTTGCAAAATTTGAATGTTGAGGAAGCATTCTTACAAATGATCACTAAGATCCATGATATCACAAGCCAGAAAAGTTTGGAAGCCAAAATGAATGGGTCAACATTAAGTCTTTCTAGTGGGAAGGAGATTCATATAGCTGATGAAGTCACTGCTACTAAACAAGTTAATTGCTGTTCAAGATGAGTGCTTGCATGATCAATTTTTGCAACTATCTTTGATAAACTCAGTTATTGGTTCTTCCTATTTTCCCACTTCTCTTTGCATTTCCCCCCCTCTTCCTTTGGTCTTTTTCTTTAATGCATGATGCTCATGGAAATTTCTTTTAGAAGTGTTGAATTGATGATAGAATGTAAATGCTAGCTGATTTTTATATCATATGATTCTTCTTTTGTTTTAACATGAGTCTCTTTATTATATTTTTTATATGATTGTAAGCATGTTTAATACTTTTAACTAAATATTATCTTCAAAATATTTCAATTACAATTTTTTAAATAAAGTAAAATAATTCAAATATATACTATAATTTTATTTGCTATATAGAAATTCATAATCATATGTATTGAATTCAAAGAACCGTAAAATGCAATGGCAAATAACTAATTTGATATACCACCCAAAAAAAAAAAACTAATTTGATATCAAATGGGCCGAAAAATATTTTGTGGTTTAAATAAAAATTATTTTTTCCTTAGAAAGAAAAGATTGTGAAAACGATAAAACGACATTTTGTTTCAAATCATTTCGAGTAAAGTGCAACTTACTATTCTATAGGGATGGTTCATTTTCATGAAACCATCGTGTGTTTTCAATTGAAATAATTAACTGTATCATTACAATAATTAAACATATTTTTTAAGGGAAATATTACTCTCCTTCCACATGAGATATCATCTCTCATTTTCTCTCACTTCGATTTTCGTGCCACACTTTTTTTTTGTAATGGTAGGACCCACCTATTTTCTCTCTGCAACATAAGATATTTATCTTATGTTAAATGAGACTAATAAAACTCATTTTTAATTTAAAAATAAAAATATTTCTATTTTTCAACTCATTGACCACACCGGTCACCATGGCCACCATAACGATGCGGTAATAAATGGGCTTTTTGACCTTTTTTTACTATCAAAATTATCATTAAACTCATTTCAAAACATTTCACCTATTCTTATATACCAAAATATGGATCCAGATACTCGAGTATGTGTTGTTCCATGCAATATAAATGAATATCTGGGTCCATACTCGGGTATATGTTTAAAAAAAAAAAAAATTATGGGAATTTTCCAATGCATAGCTATCGAAAAGTTACTTAGAATAAAAAAAACATCTGATTTAGATACCTGAGTCAAAAGTTACGACTTTTCGAAGAATTTAAAGTTTTACTCTATAATTTCCAAAATTTTGTAATGCAAATAGGTTTTGTGATACCCACAAAGCTCATCCTGAGGTTAGTGAGTCAAGTCCAATATTATGAGTATATGACTATAGAAACTTATTTGATCCAAAAAATATGATGTTAAATTTTTACCAAGAGATTTTATAGTTAAATACGGACACCCGAGTGGTTAATTTTTTTTTTTCACTAGATTTTTTGGATTAAACAAGTTTCTATAGTTATTTATATATTGGACTTGACTCGAGTAACCTGAGGAGGAGCTTTGTGGGGATCATAAAAGAAATTTTAGACTAAAACTTTTGAAGGCTATAACTTTTGACTTTTCAAATCAGGTATTTTTCTTTTGATTTCAAATAACTTTTCGAGAGCTATACGCTAGAAAAATTCTGTATAATTTTTTTTGAACATATACTCGGGTATGGACTCAGATACTCGAGTATCTGAGTCTATACTCGAATATACAGGGGTAAATAGGTGAAATGATTTGATATGAGGACAAAGGTAATTTTTTAGGTCATAAAAGTTAAGGTGCTCAAAAATCTGTAATAAATGATGGTGGAGATAGTCTCATGATAGTGGTGGTAGTTAGGGTTGGCAAAACGGGCCAACCCGGCTCGACCCGGCCCATCCCGCATTCAACCCGAAAAAAAGGGGTCGGGTTAGGGTTGGCCCAAAAAGAGAAACGAGCCAGAAAACCCAACCCAGCCCGACCCAAGCCGGGTTAGGGTTGCCTCGCGGGTTGACTCAATAATCAGCTCGCGGGTTGGCTCAGAAAAAAGCTCGCAGGTTGGCTAAAAAAAAACTCGCGGGTTAGCTCGAAATAATGCCAACGGGTTTGCTCGCGGGTTGGTAGAGCACCAATACCTTAATAAAAGAATAAAGAAAATAATCGAATAAAAGGAATCTCCTGTAATTGCATAACCATTAACACAAATAGCAGAAACAAATGGAGGTTAGCTTAAAGAAGTAAGCATTATGGTTAAGTAATGAAAATGGAGATGATAATAACAAATAAATCCCCATATGAGCATATCTTATAGCTTTACCACACAACTACTGCAAAGCTGAACACTAAAACTAAATTCGCTTTACCATATTCTTCAGCACACAAAACCCAGTCTCCCAAATGAAGATCGGTGAGAATAATTTAGAACAGCAAAGAAGAATTATGTTATCGGTTCTTCGATTGAACAAGGGTTATTTATAGTTTAGAAAATAATTTAGAAAACAAAAAGGTAAACTAAATAAAAAGCAAAGTGAGAAGACCTTACTGTGAACAAGTTACAATTACAAAGTAGCGACTGAGATGAAATGATAAAGGGGGCAGAATCTTAGGGTTGGACAAAAGAACGAAGGAAAGTGACGACGATGCGCAGCGTATGGCAGTTTTGTAGTTTTGATATTATTTTTTTTAATTATATATATATATATATATATATATATATATATATATATATATATATATCCAACCCGCGAGTGGTAAGTGTCCAAGACACTATGTTTTTATGGCTAAAAAGAGTTTAAATAATTATTAAAATAGTTAAAAATATAGTGTTAAAACAATAAAACAGTAAAATAGAATGAATTGCCAACAAATAGACAAAATTCTAAATATTTGTTGTTGTTTAAGGTTGTTGAGACTAGAATAACAAAGTATCAATATGATAAGGACGAGGCAACAGTGAAATCCGCGGAGCAATGGGAAAATTAGAAATTAAATAATAAATAAAAAATTAAATAAATGTAACGCTCACCCCACTGCTCGCTGAAGCGAGCAAGTGGATGAGCAAACCACTAAAGCTCGCAATGCTTCTCGCTAAAGCAAGTGATTAGGTGACAAGCAAAAGTTTCTCGCTAAGCAGCTCGCTTTAGCGAGCAGGTCCAAAATTCAAAAACCCACATTTTTTCTTTAATTACGAAGCGAAGGAAGCCGTGAAATTATTCTGGAACGCGGAAAAAGAAGGCACTCAGAGACGAAGCGAAGGAAGGAGCGGAAAAGTAGCACTGGATCATGGCAGAGGAGAAGGAAGGAGTCAACTTTGCACCATTGATCATTACCATTAGACAAGTTTTATCATGAACTTCATTACTTTTGCAGTAGCTTTAAATTCTGTTTTTATCACTATGCGTAGCTAATTTACTTTTAGTAGTTAGGAAGATACAGAACCAATGGGTTCTTAGTTGATGTTTGTTTATTCTTATGAATTACATTCTTGTTTCTAAATTATGCAATCAATCTGATATTTATGCTTAGTTTTATTTATGACTTGATCACTCGTAGATAAACATACGAGTCATATATGACAATAGGGATGTTGGTGTATGATTCTGATTGGTTGATTGCTGGAATTTACATGATATAGGGATAGACTTGTGAATTTTATAACTGTGAGTTCTTGCGTTAATGCTTATTTTATGAAAGAATACTAAGGGATTAGGCTTTGGATTAGAATAAAGAATTAAATTACCAAGGGATTGAGATTTAGTCAATTATAGAAAGAGCTGTTAATAATTTAATCTTAAATGTAATCGTAAGAATATGCAAACTCGTTAAGAAACCATTAGGGAAGTTGAATCCTAACTGCGCCTTTTTATTAAAAATCTAAACTCAATTTCTAGTATTCTAAATTCTGAATTTAATTTCTAAAATATAAAAAACCAAAAATAGTTTTACAAATTCTGCTTTTAATTAAATCACAATATTCTCAAGAAAACCTTTAATGATCGATCCAACTTTAATTAAATAAATATATTATTGCTTGGTCATCAGTCCTCGTGGGATCGACAACTTTCTTATCACTTTATTACTTGTACGACCGGTACACTTGCCGAGTTCGCAACAAGTTTTTAGCGCCGTTGCCGGGGACTAATTAATCAACATTAATCTTATCTATAAAATTATAGATTGGATCATTTTTTATTATTATTTTTTATTTGTTTTATTTTTGTTAGTTTTTAGTTTCTTTGTTTTATTTTTATTTTTATTTTGCGTATTTTATTTTATTTTAGTTTTTATTTTTATTTTTACTGTCATTTACTTTGCTTTGTTAGTTTAATATTTTTATTGTTATTTATTTTATTTAGTTTGCTTTAAATTTTAAATTTTAAATTTTCTGTTAGTTAGTGGTTTCCGTTAGTTGGACCCACTGAGCCTTAGTTTTTCTGGTTTATGCATCTGCGAGGCACTGTTAATCCCAGTTACCTACAGTACGAACCAGAGTTAGGACGTTTAGAAAGAACTAATAGGAAACGTTTGACCGCGAAGAAGACGCAAGACACATCGAGCTCTAATTTTGCGAAATAACCAATCATGGCTGAGGAAAATCAAAATCCACCTGAAGAACTGATGAGTCACTTCTTAAACCCTAATTTCTCGCATCCGACTGCGAGTATTAGAAGACCTCAAATCCCAGCCAATAATTTCGAAATAAAAGCCTCATTCCTGAATTTAATTCAAAGTAATCTATTTGAAGGAGACCCGATCGAAGACCCAAACCGCCACATCACCAAGTTTCTACAATTGTGTAGCCTCATTAAAGCTAATGGGGTTCCTCCTGAAGAAATCCGATTAATGTTTTTTCCCTTTTTCTTTAAAAGGAAGGGCACTTAATTGGCTGGAATTGCAACCTACTAATAGTATTTCTACATGGGATGAATTGGTTGAGAAATTCCAAAAGAAGTTCTTCACATTATCCCGATTCTATGAGTTGAAGGAATAAATTGACAACTTCAAGCAACTTGAAGGCGAATCTCTGTGCGTAAGATGAGGAAGATTTAAAGAACTAATCAGGAGATGTCCATAATACGTTTTATCTAATGGCGAGAAGGTCCGAATTTTCTACAAAGGAGTTACTCCGACTTATCGAGTACTTCTTAACGCTGCAGCTGGAGGGAGTATCGGAGAAATCTCTCCCACGAGGGCTATTGAGCTAATTAAGAAGATGGCATCTGA